GCCGGCCCCCCCCCCCCCGCTGCCAGCAAACTGGTCACGCTTCGCCCCGGACAGGCCTTCGCCGCGGGCAAGTTCCTCGTCGTGCCGCTGACGCTCGCGCTCGGCCATCGCCGCGCGCTGCTGCTACAGGTCGCAGTGGCCGCCGTCTCGTGCGCCGCCTACCTCGTCGCGCCGCGCTTCGACGCCGTCCAGCTGTACGGGTGGGTGGTCTTCCGGGTCGCCTCGGCGATGGCCGTCTCGACGATGCTTCCGTTTGTGGGCGGGTGGTTCCCGCGGCGCGTCTACGGCCGCGTCTTCGCCCTGCTCTTCTCTGGCTTCCAGCTGGGCTACCTCTTCGCCTCGTACTACTGGCAGCCGCTCCTCTCTGCCGGCCGGCTGCCGTGGCAGCTCCCGATGAGCCAGTGCGCGCTCGGCTTTGCGCTGCTGTTGGTCGCATGCGCTGCGTGGCTGCGCGAGCTTCCGCCGCCGCCGCCGCAAGAGAGCAAGGGCCGACTCGCCGAGCGCGCGGCCGACGCCGCCGGGGCAAACCGCGGCGACAGCGGAGGCGGCGGCGCGCGCCAGCGCGCGCCGCCGGTGGAGCTGGGCCGGCTGCTGCGCAAGGTGGCGACGCGCTGGGTGTTTTGGGCCATGTTGCTCGCGGCAGGGAGCTACTCGCCTGCGGTGGAGTACTCGACCCACGTCACGTCGTACCTCAAGGAGATGGTGTCCGATGCTGGGCCCGCCAAGGGCGCCTTCGTGTGCATGCAGTCGAGCTTGTGCGAGGGGAGGTACCGATAAAGACTCGAAGCCTCTCGCTGTGAAGAGCGTCTCTTCACACCTCCAGCTGTGAACAGGTACCGAGGGTACGTCTTTTCGTACCTCTCGGCCCTGCTGGTGGGGTCGGTGCTCTACGACCGAGCCACGCAGCTCGATCGTGCGTTTCTTGTCCTCGGCGCGAGTCCCCACCCGCATCCCTACCCACGCGCCCCTACCGCCCCGCCCCTGTCCCCACTCGCCCATCCCAGCACCGGGGACACTCTCAGAGGCGTCGCGAGCGTCAGCCTCCTTGGCGGCGGGAAGCCCGAACCCTCGTGAATTCCGAACCCTCACTCGGGCTGGTCAGGGTTGCTGCTCGTCAACGTGGGCTGCTGGCTCGCCCTGGCGCTCGCTGAGCCCGACGCTCCGGCGGCGGCATGGGTCAAGGCGGTCGCATCTGACCGGACAGTGCGGTCGCTTGTGGCCGCGTGGCGACGGGCCGCGCCCAGCTCCGCGCGTTGGGTGGAGGCGGCGCCAAAGCCGCCATTGGACGCCGCCCAGCCGCTCCTTGCTCTCAGCGGTCCGGCTAAGACCGTCCTCGCTTCGGTCGCGGGCGCCACCATCGCCTTGCCTTCGTCGCTCCCCTTTGCGCTCTTCTCCCTCGATTTTGGCAAGGAGGGCGCCGCCGTCCTCTCGGGCTTGCTCTCCGTCGTCGGCTCTGTCGCCGCACTGTCCTTTCTCCGCTCCTTCCCGTCGATCTTGCGCGCGCGTGGCTGGTTTGGCGTGCACGCGTGCCTCGCCGCCTTCAGCTCGCTCGCCGCACTCGCGATGGGTGCAGTGATGCTGGCCGACTACTTCCGAGACACTCCCGAGACACTCCCGAGACACTTCCGAGACACTTCCCTCAGGTGCGGTGATGCTGGCCGACTCCAAGAAGTTTTCGCGCGGCTACGTGATTCGCTCGTCGCTCCTCGACGAGACCGTCGTCGCCTTGCACGCGTGCTCGCGCCCGCAGTGCGCAGCGCACCCAATGTGGAGGCCGGGCCAGCGGCGGACGTGGGGGCCGGCCGCCGGGATACAGCTCCGGCCACACGCGCCAAGCAGCGTGTGCCACATCTGCGGCAAGGGCGATATGCTCGTTGAGTGCAGCGTGGACGAGGCTGCTGCCACCGCCGCGTTACTGACGCCTTTCGACCAGTGCCACGCTTGGATCCGCGCGGAGAAGCCGCTGCAAAAGCCCAAACAGGGATGGGCGTGGGTGGACAGCCCGGAGCGATGGGTGGCGCGGGACGCCGACACGGCGGGAAAGTAGTGAGCTCAGCTGTGGGCCGACTGCACGCTAAAGGCTACACGCTCGCACACCACTTGCAGGGTGGCTCTCCCAGGCGCCCACCCCACCCGGAGGCACGCCAGGCCCCGGGCAGCCGGCCGTCACTCGCCTAAGCGCCTAAGCGGCCTAAGCGGGGGGTGCTTAGGGTGCTTAGGCGCTTAGGCGGCCCTTGCGAGCGTGGCGGCGTCGTAATACAAGTGACTCCGATGGCAATCATGATGCCCCTGCTATAGTGTGTCATCACTCAGAGAGCAGCCTCACGCACGTCCACTGTCTACCACTGGCCCTGGTCGCACACTGCCACTGAGCTGCGCTGGTCCGCAGGCTGGTGCGGGATCCGGGAACTCAGCATCAGGTCGAGTCGAGGAAGATCGCGGAAGGTCGACGGTCGCGGTTGCTCGCGGAGAAGGTCGAGTCGAGGAAGAGAACAAGATCAGGGGCGGGTCCGGTAGACCGGTCCGCGGCGCCATATGCGTGGCAAAGGACGCGAAAAGTGCCCACTAAAGCTTCCGCGCCTTGACTTCACGTTGAGCTGTGATGATGCCCACACGCCCCCCCCCCCCCCCCCACAGCCCTGCAGCAAAGGCGGGCGGGCCGACCCCGCGGCCATCGCCGCTGTCGCCTCCCCCTCCGCCGCCGCCCCCTCCGCCTTCGTCGTCACCTTGGGCTGCATCACCCGCGCCGCCGTCGCGCACCGGCTCGTGCTCATTCAAAGGCGCCTCGAGTTGCAGGCCGGCGGCGCTGACGTTGTCGTGGTCGGGCTGCCCAACGTCGGCGCGGGAGGGAGGGGGCAAAGCCGTTATGGAGAGCGCGAGAGCGAGCGCCAAGAGGGCCCAGATTCTGAGCAGCAGCCCGCCTTGTCATGGGCCCACTTGCCGACGTGCGTCCAGCTTCCACTATAGCCTATAGGACGAACGCCGAAGTTTGCTCTCCGACGCCGTGCCGAGCGAAACCTGGAGGGGGCGTGGGCAACGGCGGAGGGGGCGTGGGCGGCGGCGGAGGGGGCGTGGGCGGCGGCGGAGGGGGCGTGGGCGGCGGCGGAGGGGGCGTGGGCGGCGGCGGAGGGGGCGTGGGCGGCGGCGGAGGGGGCGTGGGCGGCGAGGCACGCGAGGCGGCGGTGGGGGTTGCCTTTCCCTTGTCTACGCGCACCCTCGTCCCGCTCCCCAGGGCCGATCACCCTGCAGCCGCAGCTTGTGTGGCGGCTGGCTGGATGGACGAGTGCGCGTTTATGCCCGTGTATGCTCACTGGCTGGGGTTGGCCTTGGTCGCATTGGTGATGGCCGTGTGGTGTCGTCGACTTTGACTATTATCTGTCCTCAGGAGGGCGGCGGCGGCCGTTCACACACCCAGCCGTGCTTTGGTGTGTCACCTGGGTCTCTGTCTTGACCAGATATCGAGAGCGGCGCGACGACAACAATCCCTAACCCTAACCCTATCCCTAACCCTAACCCTAACCCAAAGTGCGAAGAACTCGGGGCGCATTCACCGCGAGGTGGCCTCGACGGACGGCTAGTTTCTCCATTCCGACCCAAGCGGCCCGTTCTTAGGACCTGCACAACGGCTTGGAACTCTAACTCCCTAACCCTAACCCTAACCCTAACCCTAATCGTATCCGATCCCAACATCCTGGAGCCAAATGCCGAGAGCCCACGACGGTCTTCTGCGTGAGATTGCGATTGCGATTGCGGAGCAGCGCGGCGAGCGCGGCTCGCTGGTCGTTGTGGGGGCGCACCACTTTGGCAGCGACTACAACGACCCGCTATACGCCGCGGTCGCGAACATCGCATGGAGCTCTGTGCTTCTCGTGGAGGCGTCGCCGCTGATAGCCGCAACGCTGCGCACGCGCGTACGAGAGCGCAACCCGACGCCGCGCGTGCCACCGGCGCGCGTAATCGTCGTTAACGAGGGCGTGTGCCCTTCGAGTTCGCCCGCGAGTGAGTTGCCCTTCTACACGCTTGACACAAGAGGCCTCGAAGGGCTGCCGCGCTGGGCGGATCAGGTGAGTTCCTTCAAGTATCAGCACGTCCAGAAGCACACGTCATCCATGGCGCGCAAAAGCAACCACAGCGCCGCGTTCTTGCGCACGCGCATCGTGACGAGAGCCGTGCGGTGTGGGCCACTGCTCTCGCTGCTGGAGGCGCATGCGATTGAGCGGGTCGGTGCGCTCATGATCGACACTGAGGGGCTTGACTGCCAGATTGTGGCGGCGCAGGCGTGGACGTCGCCGCGATGGTGCCGGCTGCGCCCACAGGGTGTGCTGCTGTACGAGAAGAAGCATTGCGACGAGAATAGCTCCAAGCTCGCACTGGAGGCGCTCGACCACAGCCGCGGATGCTCAGCCACCGGCCATGCAGCCAACGACGCGACCAAGAGGGCACCGCACGGCTACCGTCGCATCGCAGCAAATGATCGGGAGAACGCGGTCTTTGCGCTCTCCGACTAAAGACTTTGCCGGACCTCCGACTTCTGTGCCACTTCTGTGCACAGATGCCCCGCACTCATCGTGCCCGCCGTTGCGGTACGATGTACTTCCCGACTGCGGACAAGCAGGCCGTCTGGGCTGAAGCGATGAAGGATCTGAAATCGCGCCAGGTCAACGACAGCACCATACCTCTGTGGCTTCACAGAGTTGATCGAGTAGCTCGGATCGATGGGAACGAGGCCAATCTTGCCTTCTAACCCGGGAATGTCTCCGACGAAATCTTCTTGCTCTTCGTCCCACCGTATGTTAACGGCGGTCGGCTGCTGTCCGACTGTTTCGTCGACCTTGGTTTCGCTGCAGGGTACACGTCGGCGCCATGCCATCGCAATGAGCATGGTGACAGGAACAAAACCAGAAAATCAAGCCCAGGCCAGCCCAAGAGCAGCTTGTTCTAGGGTTACGTACTCGAGTAGGGCGCTACAACGAAGACGGTGGCGACTCTTGCATGCAAGACGAACCCCCCCCCCCCCCCGCCCCTCTATCTACTACCGATGCATCAATCATGCACTTGTGGCCCTCGGCTAGCGCCGGCGGTTACCACCCACTCGGCTCCATGCTCCATCATGCATCATGCTTTCATGCCTGCACCCCCGTGTGTGTGTGTGTGTGTTCAGCGTGCCTCGGATCTCGCTCGGCCAAGCCGTTACAAGTTCTTCAGAACGCACAACTCAGTCGTTGCACGCATATGGCGGACGAGGGCGGTGGCGCGACGAGCGCGGAGCCGGAGGTGGCTGCTCCCGAGGCTGCCTCCGCGGAAGCGGCGGCCACCCCAGCTGCTGTCGCTCGCTCTTCCCGAGGTGAGATGCCGCCGGGAGACAGCCGGGAGACCGCCGAGAGACAGCCGGGAGATAGCTGAGAGACAGCCGGGAGACAGCCGAGAGACAGCCGAGAGACGGCCGGAAGACGGCCGAGAGACGGCCGAGAGACAGCCGGGAGACAGCCGGGAGACAGCTGGGAGACGGCCGAGAGACAGCCGGGAGCGCCTCGTTTGCGCCCCTCGCCCTTTCGACTCCAACCGTGCCCTGGCCCTTCACCAGACACTTCCTAGACACTTCCCAGACACCTCCTCCAACTGTGCCCTGGCCCGTCACTAGGCGCCGACAGCATCTTCTTCTCGTCCGCGCCTCTCGCTACCGCGGTGTCGCGCCGTTCGCTCGCCCAGGCGCACCCCCGGCCACGCCCCGGCCGCACCTCGGCCACGCCCCGGCCGCACTTCGGCCGCACCTCGGCCACGCCCCGGCCACGCCCCGGCCGCACTTCGGCCGCACCTCGGCCACGCCCCGGCCGCACCTCGGCCGCCCCTCGGCCACACCCCGGCCGCACTTCGGCCGCACCTCGGCTGCACTTCGGCCGCACCTCGGCTGCACCTCGGCCACGCCTCGGCTGCACTTCGGCTGCACTTCGTGAGGAGGAGGAGTAGTTGTGAATCACCAGCCCGTAATCTCGACTTCCCCCCACCCGCGCAGGTCGAGGAAGAGGCTGAGTTCAAGCTGCAGAGAGAGCGAAGCGCCGCAGGCAGCAGCGGCGCCGACGGCGGCGGCGGCGGCGGCTTGTTTGGCCGGCGAGGGGGAGGGAGAGGGGGGGGGGTGGGGGGAGAGCTGTGTTCCTTCACGCCTGCCGGTGTGAACAGGTTCGAGCAGAGCAGCACGCGGCTGGTGCTCTTCCGAGCGGACAAGTCGAGTCCTGCGCGGTGGAAAGAGGTGGTGTGAACGGGCGACGTGGAGAGGTTCCGCCCTTCGCAGGGTTGGGAAGGGAGGAGGGGCGAGCCGAGGCGCGTCTCCAGAGTGGAGGGGCTGGGGCGGAGGGAGTGGAGTATGAGGGAGGGTGGCGGGTGGCGGGGAGAGAGCGAGCTAGCGGAGGGGAGAGCGCAGAGTGGAGGTTGAATGAAACCAAGTGCCGGGCCACAGCGCACGCTCACTCACATATCGTGTACAGCGGTTACCGAGCCTCGGACGTCACTCGTGAAGTTTCCTCGACTCATTTCCGTTGCGAGCGAACCTGCGGTTTTTCGACGACCACGCGCGAACGTGCGATGACCGATCCGAACCTGCGCTGCTCCACGACTACAGGGTCTCGAGTACAGGGTGTGCCGGAAGACCGGCTGGGGGCTCGGGGTTGCCGCGTAGGGGCGAGTTCGCGCGGGGCACCGGCCGAGCTTAGCACCGGCTTAGTCAGCCACTCGTGCGCGGTAGGGCGTGGCGAGGCCTCGCAAGGCGGGCTGGCGCTCGATACACTTAGTTTCTATGAAGGAGTGGCTTTCGGATCCGCAAGGGTGGTGGTCCTGCGCCTGATAAACGGACCGCGTAAACAAGCACAGAGCAAACGCGAATCACGAGATCCGAGGACGCCTCACCCGGTACGTCCAAACGAACAGACCGCTGTAGCCCTAAAAGCGCGGTTTCGCGGCTGACGCGGCCTGCTGTTCGTGCGACGAATTTCGCCTCGCGCCAGCGCAGCCACCCGTCATGCGCCAATCGCCGCTGCTATGCGCCGTACTCAACTAAGCTCAACAACCTGCGTGTGAGCCGAATGTTTCAAGTTGCCCCCCCCCCCCCCATGATCGCCCGCGTGCACAGGCCTCCACCCCCGTGTCCGCAGTGTTGCCTGTTGCACGCGCCTCGTCCCTGCAGCGCCTCGAAGCCGCCTCGAGACCGCCTCTTGTTCGCGGGGCGGCCAGCCTGCCTAGCAAGAAAACGCCACTCCCGGGCGGCGCAGGTCGCCCACAAACGAGATGCGCCGCCAGCCGTCCTCCGGCTGCGTGCCGTTCAATTTGAATGCCCATGTTTTCCCACCGTCTGGGCTGTGCAGCAAGCAGCCCGGGTCGATGGTCCCAAGAACGGCCGATCTCTTCGCCAGCCACAGCTGCGGCTCTTCTCCATAGGCGTTGGGGATGGCTGTGATCCCCATGGCGAAATTCTGTGTAGAGCCCGGAACCTTCAGCTCTCGGATATCGACACGACCATCGTCGAACAGTTTGACTTTCCTTACGCCATTGTCGTACGCCATGTACGCGGTGTCCGCCTTCACCATCACGATTGCGTTATTGTCAACAGGAGGTCCGTAATCAACGACGTTCCACTCACCGTCCTTGCTCGCCGCGTCGCGGCTGTACATGCTGAGGCCATGCCCGCCTGCGGCAGCCACAGCTACCCGGCCACAGTCCAGCATGTGTGGCGACACATCCAGCATGTGGGCCGGAGCTTTGTCAATGTCTTTTGGAGCGTTTGAAGCAATTATGGTCGTCCACGTCTTGCCGCCATCGGTGGAGCGCAGCATGTACGCACAAGCCCAATCCGGGGCGCTGCATTTGGGGCTTGGAGTCGGCGATCCGGATGCGAAGATGCTGTCACGAGAGATTGCGTTTATGGACTGAAAGGGGATCTTTGGGATTCCCCTTGATTCCGACCAGTATGCCAACTCTGTCCAATTGCTTCCTCCGTTGTCAGTCTTGAGCAGGCACCCCGAATCACCAGCGGCAAAAGCGGCATCCGCATCAATCACCGATATCCCAAGCATGGTGCCGCAGCTTGGTGGCAAACGCTGCTTTGCAAATGTGACGCCGCTGTCGAGGGACTTCAGGGCGACTGCGCCTGCTTCGTCATTGCAAACGGCCCACACCACTTCGCCCGAGTCTGACACCTTGATGTCGCCACAGCTGGCCACATTCCCTTCCGCCAGCGCGGTCCAGGTCTCGCCACCGTCCGCGGTCTTCATAATCTTTGGAGCAGTTCCAACGGCGAATCCAAGCTTCCCGGTCCAGTCTGGTGGCGGCGGCGGTGAGAGGCGTGGCGTGACAGACGAAAATAGCGCTCCCCGTTCTGGCACCGCGGCCTCGCCGGGCATGCAGTACAACGAAAGCAGCACAAGGCGGATCGTCGTGAAGCCGTGTGCTCCTCCCATGCTCGCGATTCTTTAACCTGAGGGACACCGAGGTCTCGCGACTGCCGCGCCCGTAACCGGCGCTGGCGCGCGCGACGCTGCAGGTGCCCGCCGCTGCTGTCGGAAGACCAGCGACGTTTCGCGCGAGAATTTTACAACAAAGCTCCCTCGCACAACATTTTACAAGGAACTCCCTCGCACACGACATCTGCATGGACTTTGGGGGTGGGTGCCCCAAGCCCCAAGCCCGAAGCTGGGAACGTAGACCTCCCATCCCTCTTTTGGGGGTACGTTTTCTTCCTTTTCTTACTGGGAATGTAGAGCCAAACGAACGGGAGGAAGCCCGGGAAGACGAACCCGAGGAGGACGAAACACCAGTGGTAATCTCGTCGTCAGCTGTCACGATGCACCTGAAGGGGACCCCAGCGCCACTTTTCTGGGAGAACCGACGTCGCAAGAGCGCAGCGGCGCGCGGCCTCGCCAGTAGCTTCTCCGCCCCCACCGTCCTCCCCGCCACTCGTCTGAGGTGGCGCCGCCCACCGATGGCGCGGCGCCCCCCGCAGCAGCCGATGACAGCGCAGCCGATGTCGCCGGGGAGGGGGCGGCGGCTGAGGCTGTTGATGAGTCGGCGGCGGCGCCATCAGCAGAGCCGGATGCTGCCGCCGGCGACGCAGCTGGCGAGGCGTCTGCAGCGGAGGGGGGTGGCGAGGCCGCCCCGGCGGCAGAGGGCGATGCGGATGACCCAGAGCTCGCGTCAGCAGCGACAAAGATTGCGGCGGTGCGACGAGGGCAGCAGGCGCGGCGGGACGCAGCTGAGGCGGGCCAGGCCGGCGCAGCCACCAGCGAGACGGCGGCGCAGCCCGGGTATGCGGCCGCCGAGGCGCCGAGTGCGGCGGACAAAATCAAGGAGGACGAGGAGAACCTGCTGGACGACGCGATGGAAGAGGAGGAGGAGGAGGAGATGTACGGAGACGAGGAGGGGTACGGCTACGAGATACTGTGCTGGAGGGCGCAGAGGGCGAGCAGGCTGACGTGCAGGCGCAGCGACGTCCAGCCGCTACCTATGCTCAACAGCACGTTACGACTCACACACGTGATGCCAATACGACGGCTGCCGATGCGCGCGACCGCTGCGCGTGCACCTCCCGCAGCGGTCAGCGTGCCACTTTGCCCTTGTTCTGACGTGCGTATGTGATGCCATGCCAGGAGGACGACGGCGAGCTCATCAACCTCGCCGAGCTGTTCAAAAAGGCGCAGGAGGAGAAGACGTCCTCGCTCGAGTCGAATCAAGCGCGCGGCGGGGCTTTTCCGAGCGCTAAGCGTCTGGTGCCAAGGCGGATGCGAGTGTGAATGCTGGTGCGGATGCTGAGACTCCCCACGCCACGGCGCAGGCGCTGCAGCGCAAGCTGGTCGAGTACCTGCGGACCGTGAAGAAGTCGGATGAGCAGAAGGATGCAGAGAAGAGCGTGACCGACCAGGACGCGCGCTACTTCAAGTGCCTTGCACAGGTGAGGAGGGAGAGGAGGGAGGGGTGGGAGGGGAAAAGAGGGGGTAGTGGCGAGGCAAGGCAAGGTGAGGCGAGAGGAGAGGACAGGAGAGGACAAGAAGGAGAGGCAACTTGAGCCTCACCCTGGCCCTTCGCCAGGTGAACGAGCTTCGCGACGAGATGGCGCGGCTGAGAAGCCAGTACACAAGACGGCGATGGAGATGAAGAAACGGCGCGACTTCCCGAGCGGAGACTAGCTCCGATTACACGAAGGACCAGCACACACGCGTGCGGACGGCGGACCGATGCTCACATGACAAGCTCCGTGTTGGAAGGTTCGAGGACAAGGAGAAGAAGGCGCAGGAGATCAAGGACGCCTTCATCGAGTTTAAGCGTTGGAAAGAAGTCGGCATGGCCATACGCGCGAGGCCGATGGGCACTCTGCGAGAGTGGCTCGAACACGTCGCTCACGTCCACCCGCTGGACGTCGACGCTGCTGTCGCAGAGAGTGCTAATAACTCTTGACCCGTCTGGTGTGCGTGACGAATGGCTGAAACCGCTTTCCTTCGAAGCTCAGCGTCGTAGCCGGGCGAGCGGAATAGGGCAGCCCTAGAGAGCACCTTGAGGCCGTTCGAGCCTGGCCCGCCTCAACCCACTTTTCCCATGTGCATACTATTATACTACTAGTACTATAGAGTAGTCGAGAGTCGCTCGCCGGCCGGCGCAGTGCTCTCGTGAAGTGGCAGAACGCGCGCTACGAGGGGCTGTCTCGGCCGTGTGCGAGGGGTGCGCTCTGGAGCACGCTGTACACGTGTTAAAAAACGATAAAGCCGTAACTGCTCGAGACCGTACACACTCCGTCTCTCCGTACGGTAGCGGGTAGCGCGCGCTGCGCGCCGACGTCGTACACCTCCCCGGTACTAAAATGCCAACGTATAGCGGCGAGACACGTACACGTACAGTCTGCCCGCGCGTGCCCCTCTTCTCGGTGCTCGAATCCGCTCTCCGACTCCGTCTCTCTCTCTCCGTCGCTCAAAAGTGACGAAATGCGCCTCGTGACGCCGGAACGCCGGACGGACCAAATCAGTGCCATGCTCACAGCGTGCCGCCACCGGAGCCGGAGCGGGAGCCGGAGCCTGGCAATAGGAGCGAGCCCAGAGCTTGCTCCAGCTGTTCCGCCTCGGCTTCGGCCGCCTCCGCCGTAGCCGGGTGGCTGTCGCAAGCTCCAACGCTGCGGAAAGCTTCGAGCGCCTGGCGATATGCACGCAACCGCCGCCGCGGGGCATCGCGCCCGCTGGTCGCCTCCTCGAGGATCGCCTTGCCCTCCCAATACCCGATGAAACAAGCGGCGACACCGTCTCGGTCGCCGCGCGGAGCCGCGGCCAACGCGGCGATCGCGCGCCGTGGCGATCCGGCGCGCAAATGGAGCCGCGCCGCTTCACGGTAGAGCCCCGCGGCGTTCAAGTCCGAGCGCCCGCCTATGGCTGCCTGCGTGGAAGCCATGTCCTCGTAGAGCGTCGCGTTGGCGGGCGCCGCCCGGTGGAGGTGGTCGTACACTGCCAGCAGCGTGGTGTACGCCTACGCACCACGCATTACGCATACGTGTTACGCATCCGCCCCTCCCCCCGAACCCTCCCCCTCTACCCCGAATCCACCCCCTACCTCTTTACCCCCCCCCTCCTCTCCCTACCCCCTACCCGCCTACCCGCCTACCCGCCTAACCCCCCTTCGCCTTGTAGCTCGTGTACACGCATCCAAGCGAGGCGTTCAGGTGCCAGATCGCCGCGCCTGTGGGGCGGGTATTCTCGGGTAATCTCCGGTAATCTCGGGTAATCTCGTTCAGGTGCCAGAGCGCCGCGCCGACGTCGTTGCGTTTAACATGCAAGAGGCCGTAGGACGAGTGCACGTCGCAAAACGCGCCGGCCGCCGCACCCCCACAGACCGGCCCGCGGCCGCAAAAGGAGGAGTCGATCTCGACCGAGGCGTCGCAGTGCGCGAGCGCCTCGGCGAGCCGGCCCTGATTGGTGCGCAGCGTGCACATCTGCTGCTGGAGCTTGGCCGAGCGCGGACAGACCTCGAGTGCGGTCTCAAAGGCAGTCTCGTCCGTGCGCCAGTCGAGCGTGCGCCGTAGGCAGCGGCTCGCGAAGTATGCCGTCGCGCCGGCGACGGTGGCCGCGCCGCGCGCCCCACGCGGCGGCGCGAGGTGGCGGGGGAGGAGCAAGGCCATACCGACCGAGGGGAGGTACATGGTGCGTTCGGCGACGAGAGTGCCGAGGCGGAGCGGGATGTGCGAGACCAGCAACCATGGCAGCAGCAGCCATGCGGAGGCCCCCATCGTGTGCCGCGCCTGGAGAGGGCGGCGGCGGTGACGGCGGCGGCGGGCTGGGCGGCGGCGGCGGCGGAGGCGGCGGCGAGGGCGGGCGGCGAGGGCGGCGGCGGTGGTAGGGGGTGAGGTGACGGCGGTGGCGGTGAGGGCGGCGGCGGGCTCGGTGGCGGACTCGCGGGGAGGCGGGCTCGGCGGTGGGGGGGAGGGTGGGGGAGGGCTGGGCGGCGGTGGGCGTTCGTGGAGGGGCAGAGCGCGCGCCTTGGGGTGGCGCGCAGAGCGAACGAGGTTGGCTGCCCACGCGGCAGCTGCGCCGAGAAGCAGCAGCGTCAGCAGGTTGCGCGAGTCCCTCGCGGACTCGACCATCGGGATGCAGTCAAACGAGTACCTAAGAACAAACACGGCGCGCGCTGTGTTTTCTTTTTTCGGCGCGCCAGCGGACGAGCGAGAAGTACTCGATGCACAAGGAGGATGGCGCGAGGAGGAGCGCGGTGTAGACGGCCTGGATCCACCCGACGGAGAGCCACCACGCCAGGCGCGACTCGAGGAAGAGGAGCGGGTTCTCGGCCTTGCGGATGAGCAACGAGTCTGCGAGTGACGCGGCGCCCCACGAGAGCGGCTCGCCAGGAGGGGTCATCAGAAGGATGCGGCCGACGAGGTAGGCGGCCACGAAGAGCGCCAACGCGCAGATGCGGGCGGACGATCCGACCACGCCTGCGGCGCCACGGGCAGGAAGCAGCACGAGCACCTCCTGCGCTATCAGGATCGGGGCGATGACGATGCCAGTCTCCTTGCACAGCACGGCGCCCGCGATGCAGCCGAGGGTTGCGGCGGCACAGGCGAGTCGGCGCGCGCTGGCGCCGCGCCGCCACGCGCTGCACCCGCGTGGGGTCAGCCCGGCAGCCCAGGCGTGGCACGCGTTCGCGCCGAGGCAGCAGAGCGCGCAGAGCAGCTCAGCGCGCCCGACGACGCCGGTGACAGCCTCCACATGAAGAGGGTGCGCCGCAAACCATAGCGCGCCCAGCAATGCCCGCCGACGCCGCCGAGAGGCGTGTCCGCGCCAGGCGCGGACGATCAGCTGCGTAACTCCCGCGCACACTGCGGCGTGGATGATGGCGTTGGCGCCGTGGAGGGCGGAGGGTTCTGGCGCTTCGCCACTCCACCACGAGTGCGCACGGAAGGACAGGACGGTCAGCGGGCGGTACGACTTGTGCGAGTCGTCGAGGTGCAGCCTGTCCGGAGGCGCCCCGCGGTGAACGGGCGGAGGCTGAGCGACAGGGCAAGGTGGTGAAAGAGCACGCACGCTTTGCCCCAAAAGTCGTGCGACCACAGCGGGAGGAGTGGCGCGCCCGGCTGCACGTCGGCGTTGGAAACGACCGCAAAGGCGTCGTCAAAGACAAAGTCGCACGCGGGCGCGTTGAGGTAGCAGGCGAGGCCCACGAGGGAGGCGTAGAGGTGAAGACGAGTGCCGTCAAGCAGTGTCATATATCTGATATACCGGCACACCACCAAAAGAATTCGCGCCGCCGTGCACAATGCCGCTCTCCCCGCATGCTAGCTCGTTCACCGTCTGCCACGCCACACACATCGATGTGGAGGACGACGGAGAAACGCTGGATTTGCAGGGCAGCGTGCAAATTCTTGGTTGTCCATGTGACCTCCCTCGTTCATCCAGATGCTGAGTGAGCATGCGAAAGTTTGTTGCTCAGCTGGTTCGCCGCTCCCCCTCAGGGTGCTGCGGACCTCCTTTCCAAAGCCTCCGAAGCTCTCGAAATCGAACAAGCGCAGATCGCAATCCTGCTCCCGCGCAAAGGGGTAATCGCCATCCTGATGCTTGAGCGGGGTCGTGGGGGCATCCGCCTCCTCCCCCTCCCCCACCTCCTCCGCCTCCGCCGCCTCCGCCGGCTCCTCCCCCTCCTCCTCCGCCACCACCGCTGCCGTCGCTCCCGGCGGCGAGTACTTGCCGCGCCCTTTGACCAAATTGAGCAGCCCGGGCTCCGTGTTGCCGAAGCGAACATACGCCCCCTTCCAGCCGAGCTCTCCGTCCTTGCCCGTGCTCGAAAGCGAGCTCGTGAGCTTCAGATCGGCAACAAGGCGCCTGTGCCCCTTGCCGATGTTTGCCGCCGCCACGTCAGGTTGTTTTGGGTTGCTGTAACCGAGGTGTGCAGTCGGCTCCATCTCGATGATCATGCCCCACGCCGAGCGGAGGGTCTTGACCAGTCGTTTGAGTAGGAATTTGTGTCTTGTAGCATGCTTCGACCGAGGGTTAACCATCGCGGCGTCGCCGAGGACGTCGTGCAGCCGGCCGCTGGGTGCCCTCTTGCCTGCCTCCGCCAGGGTTGATGGGAAAATAGAAGGTGAAAAGAAAAGGCCGCAGCGGCGCTCCTTTCTCTCGTCCGCAGGAGTGCACCGCACTTGGAGCACTTGGAGTGCAGTCATTAGCCTCACATCCAGGGCCGGGGAGCTAAGAAGCGCACCCAGCGGGCCGGATGATCGGGATCGGGTTGCGGGCTAGAGAGCCCTAGCCCTGGGGGGTGCGCGTTCGCAGGGAAAGGGCCGTAAAGTAAACACGGGTCTCCGAGGGTTGGCCCCGCGTACCGGGTTTCCCCTTAACTGCAGGACGCGCCCTCTACTCGGAGCTAATAGACACAACACTGTACACCACTCTCCTGTACAGACACCTGCTTAGACCCTCGTCTCGGGGCTCACAACCTGTGTCACCCGAAATCCATAGTGTCACTCCAGATCCATAAAATGTCGCATTTGCAGCGCATTTTGTTGCAAACAAGTGTGCAAATGGTTGTTTTGACCAGTACTCACCTGCCCCTGCGGAGCATGCGCATGCTAGCTCTCGTACATGCACTCTCTCTTCCGTCCGCACCCGCACGGTACCCATTCCGGAGCCCACCATGCCGCTCGCACCTGGCTCGCACCCACCCACTATGCGTGTCATGCCAGCAGTGCTATGAGCTAATCACTTGGGGACGCCCATGAAGCCCAAGAACCTGGCCTGACTCTCCCGCTCACTCTGCTCGCGTGCGCGCGAAGCGTTGAGCTCGGCCAGCATCATGCCCTGCGCAAAGGTTGGGGAGAACATGCTCCCGCCCGGCTGTGCAAACACGGAGGGGGCCGTCTCTGCATCGCGAGTGCGATAGAGCGGCGCCGCCGGTGCCGGCTTGGCCCTCTTGCGGCGCTGCCCCTGCGGCGCATCCCTCGGCGGTGGCGGCCCGGGTGGTGGTGGCGGCGGCGGAGGCGGCGGCGGAGGCGGCGGCGGAGGCGGCGGCGGTGGCGGCGGCCGCGTCCACGTCGTCTGCTTGTCGACCGAGTTGTAATAGTAGGGGCGCCCATTGCCGTCCACGTACTCGGTCCAGTCCTTGCCGATTTCGGCCTGGCTCTCCTCCTCCTCCTCCTCCCCCGCCTCGTCGGCGTCCGCCTTCTTCTAGGGTACCCAAACTCCGGGGCCGGTGTGCGGGGAGCGAACCTTAACGGCCGCCCAGAAGCTTTCTGAGCGAACCAATCGGGCCAGGATCATCAGCATATGTCCCCTCCACAACATCGTGGGCGTTTGAGCGGTATTTGAGGAGCACCGCCACTCTGAAGTTCGGCCGGGTGGTCTGCAGACCCCCCCCCCCCCCCGAGCAGCAGAGCGGGCTCCGTGGGGTCGAAAAAGTCGACGCTGGGAGTCGCACTCGTCAAACCATCGCAGTACCATGCGGTCCGCACGTACCGCCCACATCCCCTCCACCGCTGAGAAGGCGCAGATCGACCGCCGGGCCGCGCAGTCGTCGTTAAGGAGCGGTTTTCGGAGCCGTACGAAGAGGTCCCACGCAGACGGACCCGGCGAACATGCGGTTTTTCGATGACCACGCGCGATGTGGTATCTGCTTTTTGCTAAAAACGGGCCGCCTAGTGCAGCACCACTAGTACAACACGCAACCACACTGAGAGCTCCACAGTAGATGCTTTTGACGAGCGCCGACGGCGTCACGGTCGCCGGAGTGGACGCACCGCAGACTGCACACACACACTGTGACCGGGTTGTTGGTGTGACAATGAGCGACACAATCGTCGGCGCCGCGCTATCGCGGCGCCCCGCAGTCTACACGCCTCAGGCGCACCCCTGAACGCGCCATGGGCGCGCAGGCACAGAGCAGCGCCGCGCCAAAAGGCCATTCCCTCGCCCGACCCGAGGCTCCACCGTGGCTGCAGCGGTCCGAGGGCAAAAACGTGTAGCTTAACAGACGAGTTGTGATGATCAGTGCTGGCGGAGGCCTCATCGCCGCGAATGTTGCCCGTCGCAGCGGGATCTGACGTCGCGTTCGAGGTGTGCATTGGCGGAGGGGTCGCATGGCTGAGAGAGGCAGAGGCAGCAGGCGGGTGGTGGGGCGGCACCTGTTGCTGCCATGGGCAGCGCCAAGCCGCGCGGCGGAGTCGCTCCGTAGGTCCGCGTTGAGCCACACGAGTGCGCCGACCCGTCGCGAGGTGCCTGCGGGGGGTGATGTCGCGCCGATGGCTGAGTACGCGCGGCGTGAGCGGCTTTGCGCGGAGAGGCGGCGCGAGAAGGCGAGCGGGCGGGCGCGCCGGTGGTCGGGCACCGCGCGCTGCGGCTGCAGCAAGCCGGCGGCTGGCGCGGCAAAGGCGGGCAGCGTCGTCGCGGGCAGGTAAGCGACGGGCGCACACGGAAGCCGCAAAAACGCACACTGAAGCCGCAAAAAATCACACCGAAGCCGCAAAAAATCACACCGAAGCCGCAAAAATGCACACCGAAGCCGCACTTCGCAAATTTGCAAAAAAAAACCATAAGAGTGACACTATGGATTTCGGGTGACACAGGTTTCACCGACCGTCCTCCCGGAGCTCCGGTTCTCCCCCCTTCGCTCGCTTGCTCGTCAGCCGAGCAACATGCGACAGCCGCTGTGGCCGTTTCCCTCGTTGTTGGTGTCGCTTTCTCCGTTGCCGCCCTCCGTCTTCGCCAGCTTCTCCTGGCTCCACCGGTGCCGAGAGCGGCGACAGCCCGAGTGGGGTCTCCCCGGGCGAGGGCGGCGGCGTTGGGTCGTGTCGCCTCCCCTCCCCGGGGGGTCGGACCGGCTCTCCCTGGTCGACGAATCGCGCTCGCATCCGCGGTCTCTCTATCGTCCTCGGCTCGCCTCCCCCCTCCGCCGGCTCCTCGTCGAGCTCGGGGAGGCGTGGCCCTCCTCGTCGTAAGTCACGTTGGTCCAGCTGCCGCCGCGACGGGTCTACCCCTGGCGGGCTCGTATGTCCCGACCCCACTCGCAGAGGCCGAGACAGCCCAACTCTCACCCCCTCCGACAGTTGACTCCAGGTCTCACCCGGGGCCCTCCGGTCTCGGCCTCCCGATTCGTCGGCTCTGCTGCACCTCGTCCGGTAGATCCGTGTCATAGCCGGAGGAGTCGGCGGAGGACGCCCGCTTGGCGGGCGGCGAGTCCGGTGAGGGAGAGCGCGACTGGCGCGAGGGCCCGCCGCCGCGCGCTGACAGCGCGTTCTTGTCGACGAGCCGGGGTCCAGCACTGGCGCGGCCGCTGGCACTGCGGCCCTTGCCGCGCTGCTGCTGCCCGCGCTTCCTTCCCGGATTAGGGACAGTGAAAGTGCAGCCGCGCACTCCGCCGCCGCTGGGCGGCGGCGGCACGCGCGCGGCGGCGGCCGGGCCCGCAGGCGCGGCGGGCTGGCCTCCCGCGGTGGCACCCTGCGGGTGCAATGCGGCTGCGGCGGCGTACGTCATGTTGGTCGCCGGCTCCGCAGCTGGCGGCTCGGCGGCAGGGGCTGGCGGCGCCGCAGGGCTCGCGCTCGCGGGCGGCTCCGTGGCCTGCGCCTGCCGCTCATGGCGGACCGCGCGCTCGAGCTGTGCCCAGTGTCGTGCGAGGCAGTACTTTCTAAAATTCTTTCCCACGGAGACGCCCATCGTCACCGTCGTCACACGGCGCGGCAGCATCCTGCGCTCGCCGCCGGCGGGGCGGGCGCCTGCGCGATGGCACTTCGTAGGACGTCCATTGCCGTCGCTGCGCTGGCTGCCATGCTGGCACCACTACTTCTTCGATTCCACCTCGCTTGGCTGATGGCAAATATGTGCATCTACGGGTGGCGCCTCGACACTGCGCATTATAGCGGACGCGAGCTGCAGCAGCAGACCCGCCTCGGTCGTCAGTTTTCGGCCTTCTGTCGCAAAACGGTGTTCCTCCCTGGAGCCATAAGCCTGTGCAAGCGACCGTTTGAGCCGCATGTACAGTCTCGCCTCCACCTGAACGTGACGTCTCTGAGCACGGATCCTCCAGTCTACCTTCTCGACGGGCTTATTTCACGCGCCGAGTGCGAACGCCTGTTGGAGCTGACCGAAGACGACCTCGAGCCGGGTCTTGTCGGTGGACGCCTACAGGCATCCCGTCGTACCAACTCGCGGGTCTACATAGTAAAACATGGGGCAGACCAGTATGCTGTTGGTAGCGCGCAGCCGAATTCGAGCGTGGGTCGCCTTTCATCCGGAGTCGACGCCTACAGCCATCAACTCATCAAGCGAATCCAATCCCGCCTCGCCGTCCTCTTTGACGTTCCCTCGGAATACATCGACTTGCAACGGCATCGGACCCTGACAGGGCAATTCTTCCGGCCACATTTGGACTTTATCTCCCACAGGCTCTTTGTCCCTTCGGGGCCATACGTGTGGCAGGTTCTGATGTACTGCAATGACGTTGCTGATGATGCGGGAGGGCAGACGCGGTTTCCTTTGCTTGACCTGCAAATGCGCCCGCAGATGGGGCGTGCTTTAGCGTGGCCATCCGCATTTGATGCAACGCTTGTAGCGGACACCAGGCTGGTGCACGAGTCGGTGAGGTTGAAGCGAGGGGCGAAGCACGCACTGTTTGCAACCATAAGCACAGGGCCGCGTCGGCTGTGGGGAGGTTGGCTCGAGCACTGGGAGGATTGGACTGACGACCGGGTGCTGGCAGCCGTTCGCTGGGTGTCGGCACATATTTAGAAACTTAAAAATCTGCACCTACCGCGAACATTTCGCCACAGTCTCCGGCGCGCTCTCCGACATTACTCCTACTGCGCTAGTGCTACTAGCTTCCACGGGCCGTCTCGCTGGGCGAGGCTCGGGTCACATATGCTCCTACTACTACTCTCCCACAGCGACAGTCTGCGACTACGGTCGTCCGCCAGGGATCTGCAATACCGCTCCCACCACCATCAACGTCCCTCTCCGCCACATTTCATGAACATTTGGCGACGCTCCCGCAAGTGATCACGCTCCTCGCCCTCGCACACGCCGCACGTCTGTGCGCAGAGGGTGTCCTGAACGATCTTGAGCTCGCATGCGCCGAGGAAGAGCAAGTCCGAGCAAGTCCTGGCAGATTCGGGCAAGTTGAAGGGGCGTAAAAGCCGCTCAACTTCAGCCTCTGGAAGACGGTCGAGGCCATCGGCGCAGCGGGTCTCGCTGGCGAGCGCGTTGGAGAGAGCAGAAACGTCAAGATCCTCCAGCTCCTCGGCGGCCAGCTGGCGCCCGGCCGGCTCGGGCTCGGGCTCGGACTCGGGCTCGGGCTCGGGCATAGCCTCGCCGCCCGAGAAGTTGTGCTCAGGGTCCGAGCCATCGTCTGGCACCTCGGCGATGCTGCATAGGAGGTTGGGGTTGGCCTCGCACTCTGCGCGTGCGAACGGGCAGTACACCTCATAAAGCTGGTCAAACTTCCCGCCAAGGTGGCCCTCGATGACGAAGCGATCGGGGCGTTCCTTCAGCTCTCTCGGCGTAAATACAGGGAAGGACTTGGCGCCGTCACACGTCACGCACGGGAGGACGACGTCCACCACGCCCGTCTCGTAGAGGCGAGCGACCGAGAGCGGGGACTTGCACGCCCCCTCTGTCGTAGCGAGGCGCCGGCGACCGCCAGCTGAGGGGCCAAACACGAGTGTCTCCCGAAGGACCGTCTTGGTCTCGTGCACCGCGACGGGGCAGTCGTCGTCGGCGTTGCGGAGCGAGGCAAGCTCCGGTGTCTGGGAGGTGATCCTCATCGAGGCCTCGTCATCCATCTTGGAGGTGATCTCCACGTACGCGACGGTAGAGACGATGGAGCCCCAGAGGGCAATGGCGAGTGCGGCGGCAACGGCGCCGGCGATGCCCGACAGCACCAGGTTCCGTGAGGCCGCGCCGTTCCTGAGCGTGGCGTTCTCCGCCTTGAGCTTGACGTTCTCCGCCTCGAGCGTGGCGTTCTCCGCCTTGAGCTTGACATTCTCCGCCTCGAGGGTGGCGATCGTCGTGATGCGGCTCGACAACTCTGACTCTACCATGTCAGCGTCCGGAGCGGAGGGCGTCAGCCGAGTCAGCGAGAGGCGCAGCTGGTGCTTGGGGAGGAGTGGCGTCAGCGGTGGGGGGTGCAGCTGCTGAACGAGAAGCTGCCCTTCCAGGCTGTACCCCTTCCAAGCTGTACCCCTTCCAAGCTGTACCCCTTCCAGGCTGTACCCCTTCCAAGCTGTACCCCTTCCAAGCTGTACCCCTTCCAAGCTGTACCCCTTCCAAGCTGGGGCCGTTCCGGGCAGCTGGTTCCGGGAGCGTTCCCAAGGCCGTTTCGTAGGGTAGCGCGAATCCGTTAGGACTCTCGCCAGCTCTGCTGAGGGGTGGCGCCGGGCTACCCCGGTATTTTATTGGTCGATACGAGTAGAGCGGCATCATATGAAAACCCCAGAACGGGTCGGACACCGTCCCACCGTCCGTCGCCTCGCTACAGACTGTCACGCCCCCGCGCGTGGGGTGGCGAGAGGAGCCGTCGTGCTGCTGCGCTGGCCGCTGAGCGCGTGTGTGGGCGCGGGGCGCCCCCCCCCCCCCCCCCCGCGCTGAGCGCTGTCAGCGGTGGGCCACCTCTCGGCTCACGCCGCTGACCCAAGCACCCAACTGCATGCGTGGCGGCGCCGGCGGCGCAGTCAGAGTACAGAGGAAGGAGAGAGTGTGCACCTAGCTCCTAGGGGTAAAGCCGTAGGCTGTGCGCAGCGCGGCCGGGCGACGGGTGAGAAGGCTCGCCAAGCACCGCTCAGCGGCGAGGGGGAGGGCGGCGGCGAGGCGCGAGGCGGTGGCAGCGGTGGTGCGGACGGCGGGATAGTACAGAGAAGGAGAGAGTGTGCACAGGCTGACCCACAGGCTGTGCGCGCAGCGCGCCCCGCCGGGCGGGTGAGAAGGCTCGCCAAGCACCGCTCAGCGGCGAGGGGGAGGGCGGCGGCGGCGGCGGCGAGGCGCGAGGCGGTGGCAGCGGTGGTGCGGACGGCGGGATTGACAGGGGAGGCGGCGGCCACGAGCGGAGCGGCGGCGAGAGGGGGGCAGCGGCGAGGCGCCGGCGAGCGAGGCGCCCGCGCCATGTCAGAGGGACGCCGCCGCGAGATGGAGGGCGGCGGTGACGGAGGCGAGGGGCGAGGCGGCGGCGGCGGCGGCGGCGGCGAGAACGGCGGCACCGAGTTTGTCTCGGTGAGCGGAGCGGCGGCGGGAGGAGGAGCAGCGGCGGCGCTCGCTCGCTGTTGACGGGAGCGCTTTTGAGCCTGGGAGCCCATGTCACTGCGACCGGCGTGCCCGGGAACGGAGATCGCGCGCGCGCCGCATTCACGACGCGCGCGCGATCTTCGCGGAGTCGGGTCCCCAGAGGGAAGCGGTCTTTTCGGCCGACGTCCAGCGGCGCGCAAGGAAGCAGGCGCAGCGCGGCGGTGTCGCGCTGCATGGGCCAGCAGGGTGCAGTGGCGAGGGGCGGCGGGCTCGGACGTCCACCGAGTCGCTCCGCGCGGCAGGCGGAGCGCGCGCGCGGGCCAGGAGGCTCTCGGCAGGCTGAAGAGGACATCTGCACTTATTGCGTGGCGGGCGGGCGGGCGGGACTCCACTTTGTATTCGGCACACTAGGTAGTGGGGGACCTGCGGCGGACCCGCCTCTGTTGTTCGGGCAGTGAGAGACGCAGGATCTGCACGCCAAAGTGGGGCCACTCCGCATTTTCATTTTGGTTTTGGGTTGTCGGAGATCATCCATCAGCACTCACAGTGGCCAGGGGCGGGGCTTGCATTTTTGCCGTCGCCAGTCGCCCCCCCCAAACGCTACAGCGGGGGCGGCGGCGGCGGCGGGGGCGGCGGGGCGGCGGCGGCGGCGCGACCCGGTGAGTAGGGGGGTGGGGAGCCGCTGCCGTGTGCGCTGCGCGTGCGCGCACCGCACACCATATACGGCGGGAAACAGACGGCGAAGGGGGGCGCGGCGGCAGCGGCGCAGCGCGCGCGCGGCGCGCGCGACGGAGGGGCGGAGCAGCGACCGCTGGCGCGGTCGCTGCTCCGTCTGTCCCGGAGCGCCGTCTGCGCGG